CCAGTGTGGAACCACTTTTAAGATTTTTGACTCAGCGCTTAAAACCTACCAGCACCGGAGCATGTCCTAAACGTGGTCACAGGCTCTGCTACAGCAGAGATGTTCAAGCAGAGCAGAACCCCTGCGTGTTAGGGACTCTGCCGAAAAGACAGGGAAATCAGAAAACCTGACACTTAGTTTCCAGCTCTGTGACTACACGCTTTGAAAATCACTCAGATTAATATTAAGCCTTACCTAGGCTCCTGTGATTAAGGCCCATGAGAATGCACTATTCCAAAACCTGTAAAAAAAAGAAGAAATTGGCAGCTGTTTGTTCTGGGTCTGAAGATATGTACCAGTCAAAATTACGCAGTTAGAACAAAACTTTCCTATCTTCTCTTCCCTGGTGGCACAATTGTTCATTTTTCCATGAATGCCACCATAGTTCTCTTAAACCTTTTTTTTTTGCTTGACAGAACCTCTGGATCTTAGTTATATGCACAGTTTATCCGGTAACCCATTCAATAATTTCGTTGGCCTCTCCAGATCTACAGCAAAACACTGATTTTCTTTCCCATTTGGTCTTGTCCTTTCTTGTTGTGTTTACATGACCTCATCCTATCTGAGAGGAATCCAGCTTTCAAAGTTTTCAAAGGGCACCTCCTTAGCATATTCTTGGATTCGGTCTGGACTGGGTTCTGTCTAGGTGTTTCGTGTTGGATCTATGACTAATGCCTTCTCCCATGGAATGTTCTGGGTAGGGGAGTTTCCTGGTCTTTGTGGATTTTCTACAATAAGCTTGATGTTACATGTTTAAAATTATTTCTTCGTATAGATAGCCATTTATAAAAAATAAATGGCTATCCCGTTTGTCAGGCCAGAGTTAGGATTTTTGAATTTGGATAAAGTTTGTAGATTCACGTAACAATTACTTCATTTTTCCCTTTTCCCCAAGATGTGCCACAGATGCAAAAGGTAGGGGTGAGGACTGACTAAAGATTTCTTACCACTGGAAAGAGTAAATCAGGCCACACTCACACAGCCTTGAGCTGGGACATGACACGCTCAGAACACCTGTGCAAGTCCTTTATTAAAGCAACAACCAAAATACAGGATGGCTCACATGTTTTTTTGCTTTTTTGCTGCTATATCAATTTAAATATTAGTCATTTGTTTATACCTTTAAATTATTCTTAAAAGGTGAACATTTATAGCTCACAAATCAACAGTTTGACATTTCCGCCCAGATACATTTTTCCATCTTATTTCCTGGCTTTAACAAAGAAATTCCAGAACCAGAGGAGCAGCACATCAAACGTTAAGTGCCAGCATCTTCTGTGAGCGGTGCTGGGGTGTCTGAGAGATACACTGAAGGTTTTAATTCCTCGTTAAATAAAAATAATTTATGCCAGAATATTCTTAGAACTATTTGCTTTCTGTTTTTACATTCTCTATGAGCTTCAGTTTCGACCGTGGTATTCTAAGCATTAGTCCCCTTAAAAATAACATTTCTAAAATATCTCAGTGAAAGATCATTATCACCCTCATACAACATTTTCTTGTATAACAGACACTCAGTCCTTCAGAAAGCATAAGAAGCAATTGTTTTTTTCTATTTTTTCCCCACCACTGATTTGTTTAATTCAAACCTTGTTAATCACTGGTTTAACCCTAAGGGTCATTAGGAAGATGAACTCTGTTATCTACTAAAGGATTTTTAAATGAATAGGTGAATGTAAAAATGACTAATACCGTGAAGGTAACAGGTGCTCAAAACACGTCTGTGAATATACAATGAGATTTGCTGGCTATGTAAAGAGTACCAATGAATTAGCTTAAAAAGCAAGAACAGAAACCAGGATTATGATCTAAAGGGACTGCCAAAAGGGTACGTGAAGACAGGTACAGGGAAGTAGTCGCTGAACTGCGCTGGGTATAAAGTAGAGTATCTGAAAGATAAAGTAAATGCTCCATTTTCTTACCCAGTGAAACACTGGGAGGAAACCCCTGTTCACAGAACCACAGGGGCTGCCCTTGAAGAGTTTTAGCACTGGTACAACACTGAAATTCAACCTGCACACACAGGAGTCTCATCTGCCTTTTGAAACGGCTCGTCCGCTGGCTGGGACTGGGGTTTCTGAGGCTCAGCTGGTTTGTGTTGGCTGCACTACATTTAGAGGCTGTCTGTCCAAATCTTGCAAACATTCTTTCTGCCTAACATTTTCTTCACGAGCTAAACAGCTGAACAGCTCTGAGATCACCAATAAAGAACAATCCAACCATTAGATGAGAAATGTTACCAGCCCAGTGAATAAGTTACACAGCCATCCTTCAAGTCAAGTCTTTCAATCAAGTTGCTTTCTTATCTCACATTTGCCCTTCAAAGGAAGTCTGAACAACATGGGATGTCTACAATTAAAAATGAAACACACAACGAAAAAGATAAAGAAGGGAAGGATTCCAGACTCCACTGTGTGGGAGGCCAGGCCTTTTGGCTTGGTTTTGAAAAAAGAAACGCTCACCAGCAATCATTCCGGGTGTAATGACACAGCACAATAATGCTCAGGATGGGTAAGGACATTCAGTTATTTTCAGAGCGATTTCTATACATTATAGATGTCACATTTGGTTCCTAGAGATTTAGTCAAGTATTACTATTTCTTTTTGTCAAGCATGATATACAAAAAGATGAGAATAGATGTGCCCTAAAAATATGAAAATATAATATATAAAACAAAACCATTATAAATTACATAGATTTGCAGTATAAAATTTTTTCCCATTTAGAATAAATACCATCCAAGTTTACAGATCATCTAAGTGAATTAAATATGCACACATATCTGAATCATTTTCAGAACTTCAAGAAAAAAAATCGCTAGAGATATGACCAGATGACTCAGAAACCAGAAACTGCTTACTTTTGAGAATAATGACCTAAGACCCAAAGGACATGGCTTGGGATTTAGTGCTAAGCTGTTAAAATTGCCCAAATGAGTCTGACGTATGCATGTGTGCATACATACACACACACACACGCTCACAAGCAGCCATACTTTTATGGATTTCTATGAAGCTGAACAGTTAATCTTTGAAAAATCAGCCCAAAGTCACGAGGTCATCTCTGTTCCATATTCTAGCAGGAGAGCTTTCCTATTCTGTAAAGAAGCTACAGGATGAACAGAAGAGTGTAGCCTTTCTGGACAGAGAAATCTTCGTCGTAAGCCAGCCTCCTCTTTGGTTGGCTGTTATTCTATCAAGAGCTTTCTGATGCCTTAAAGAGGGGAAAGGTTTTGAAAAATCTATATCATCTCGCCAGTCTAAAGAAGCTAAAACCAACCTGAAAACATTCTTTGGTCACACGTTTCTGCTCCTGCTCCATAAAAAATCTGCCCGTTTTTAACTTTCTATCCCTAATCAGTGCCTAGATGGGAGAGATAGATGACTTTTCCTGTAATTTCCACGTGGAAATGTGCACATGGGTTTTGGTGGAGGGAGAACTCGACAGAATGGGAAAAAGTTCATGCAGTGTCACAAAATGAGTGTGGGTCCCTGCTGTTGCTTTGGGCGTACAGATCCATGGTAAGAATCTGCTGACCTCCATGACAAGTGGAAAATTCTAAGAGGTGGAGATAAAACCCTTCTGCAACCCCAATACAGAAAACCCTCGTCCAGAGAGTGCAAGTGGGAGGTCAAGGTTTCTCTGGACTGTTCACGACTCACTTTTTATGTGACCACCCAAGACACTCCTACCTGATGGCAATGGGTCATTTGAGGCCAAGAGGACTCTGATCCAACTGAGTCTTGTCAGACCACCTGTCACACCAGTTATCTATACATAGAGAAACCCCTGAAGCCAAACCCTCTGCCCTCAGCTACAGATTTAGATGCTTTTGCTGTGAAGGTTGGCGGCAAGAGTATCTAACCTCACGTGCCCATGTCTGCTCCCAAGACTGCTTGTCTCCTGCAAGGGGGGCCATCACAAACTTTCCATAAAACTCTAAAATGTCTGAGCCGGATGGGATCTGGGGACCCAGCAAGTCCCACCTCCGTGTTTGTCAGATGAGAAAGATTAAACCCAGGGGGGTGTCGAAGGTCACTTATCGAGATAGCGAGAGTGAGGACTAAACATCAGGTCTGCTCTCACGATCCGTGTGGCCCAGGGAACCTCCATGGAAACCATGATGTGGCTGTGACCCTCAAGACGACTTCAAGGTTATGGCTCCCCTGCTCATCAATGGAAATGAACTAATACCTCTCATTCTTCCACGATGACATCTAAACTGCAGACGCTGCCCTAATGATTTTGGGTTTTGAGTTTTTGAAACCGATCCTCTTGATTCGCATCAATACTAACTTTCAGCATTAAGAAAATGAGAGGAACCAGAGAGGAAAGTGAAAAATCTTTCGAGTAATTGTGGAGGAGGGCCAGGTGATTCTGCGGGAGAGGGGACCATCTAGATGGAGCTCGAGCCCGTCTGGTCCGTCCCTCTGCCAGGGAAGGAACGGAGGCCCCACCTGCCCAAAGCCTGCGGTGCTTACTGGCACCATCAGACGAGATGCTAGCCTTTGGGTGACTAGTTTTGTCGTTTCTATAACATCATTCTGCCGCACATACAACTGCTTTCTTGTGGGACAAAATTAATTCAAGAATTCTGGCGTGAAATTTGATGCCATCACCCGAACCTTTCACTCTCTCCTTCAAGGGCGGACAAGTTAGCCCTGCAGTTCAGGGAAGTGGGCCTGGCTAGGCGATCCCACGGACCCTCACACTTGCTGCCCCAAACCAAGTGTTTGGGTCACCGGACGGCCCCTGGCGGCCCACATTCTACACCTACATGGATTCCTCAGATGCCTCTGTCTCTGGAAGCAACATGCGTTCCAGATCAAGCAGCAGCCGTGTTTGGAGGATGACGTTACTTAAACGTAAAAACAGCATTTTTCATGGACAGTTTGGGTAAATTCAAGTTTACAGTCTCCCTGCCACCTCAGCTGAGCTCACCTAAAGGCTCTCAGAATCGGACAGGCAACACATTTTTATTTGGCTATTAAAGTGCTATCCTGGGCAAGGTTTTTTTTTTTTTCTCAGTTTCACAACAGTAGCTTCATTGGAAACAAACAAACAAAAAAGCGATGGATGGAGACAGGCCTGGGAAATGACAAAAATCACGAGGCTGGTAACTGCTTTGGAACATTACAGATGACTTGTGGGTATCAGCCCTGACACCAAAGCCTCTGAGGTAAAAGTTTGGCGGGGGGTTTGAGGGGGTGGGGGGAGAGAAATAAGGACAAAGTGGCAAAGGGGACGAAACCAGAAGGAACGATTAGCATTCGTATCACAACGACTTGGTTATAGGGGAAGAGTGAAGGGGGGTTAAAACTGAGAAGAAAGTGCAACAGACCCACGTACGTGCAGTTGCTCTCGTAGCAGACCTATAACTTTTTAAAGGAAAAGCGCTGCAGTGTGCATTGGACAGGGCTCTTGACCTCAGAGTCTCTCACACCAAAAGGGCATCAGTGATTAAGGTATCTGGCAGAGAAGAGCCTCTGAGATTCATGCCGCGCGCACAGACACCTGCCCAAGGTCGCCGGCTCTGCACCCTGCCGCTGCTTGCATCCTCCATCGCGGGGCACGGTCCGGGCACACAGCATGCACGCAGGCGCTCCCTTCTGAAGGGGCCTGGCTCCTACCTACGGGACAGGCGTCTCCGGTAAGGCTTAGCGGCGAGGGCGGACTGCGTCTGGCCCTGGGGGTGGGGGGGGCGGCCCTGATTCTCGGGGTGTGCATAGCTTCTCGGGGGAGCGTTGTTAGACATGGCTTTCATAGACGACGTGGGCATTGCTGTCGCACGCCCCGGCCGGCTCTGTGGCTTCCAGGAGACCTGGGGGCAGGACATGGTCCGGTACCTCGACAGGCGTGGGCTCCTCGGAGGTCAGCGCCGCGGACGTGACCTCGGTGGAAGGCGCCGCGGACTCGGGGGAGTGCTCGGCCGAGGGCTCGGTGTCCTCCTCGTCTCTGGCCTCGAGGGGCCCCCCGTCCCGGTCATCCGTGGGCTCCCTCCGGGCCTGGGGGTGCACGGACACCTCGATGGCAATCTGCTGGGGCTGCTCGTGCAGCGACGAGGCGTCTGAGTCAGCGGTGGGGGACTCGCTCCGCTGCAGGGCGTCGGGGATGGTGTAGACCTCGTCCCCGGTGGTCGCCTCCTGGCCCTCAGGCGCGTGGCGCACGAAGTTCTGGCCCTGCTCCTCCAGCCCTACCACCTCCATGAGCTCCTCCACAATGGTCCTGCAGTTCATGATGAGCGGGGGCAGCGGCACGCTGCGGGCCAGCTCCTCGATGTAGCGGGCGAACTCCATGGTCTTGAACTGTGTGACCTTGGCCAGCTCCAACGTCTTGGCCGACGTGATGATGGGGATGCGCTTGGCGATCTCGAAGGCCTTCTGCAGCTTCTCGGCGCCCTCTGTACGGAAAAACTCGTTGATGGCCTTCTCGGTCTTCTTCAGGTGGCTACTCATCATGCAGAGGCGGGTGATGTTGAGGGCCAGCACCACGGCGAAGGCCACCAGGCACACCACCATGTAGTACACGCCCATGTCCCCCGACGTGAAGACCACCCTCAGCGTCACCGTGTTGTTCACGGTGCCGTGGACGTTGGCCGCCACACATGTGTATCGACCTCGGTCCGTGAAGGACACCTTGGTGATGTTCAGGAGGCCGTCGTGCATCTGCCACTTTCCTGCAGGAGGAAGAGGACAGAGTCAGCCAGGCCCTCCACTCCCTGCAGCCACTGCCCCGCACGTCGCTGAGCATATCTCCCACCACCACGTCTGCCACTGTCGACGGCGCCCACGGTGAACGCCGGCCTCGCCAGACGGTGACGGTGTTAGCTCGCCTAATCCTCACAACTCGGGGAGGAGCTACCAGCACCGGCCCATTTTACAGGATGGGGAAACTGAGGCACAGGTCCACTAAGCCACCTCCCCAGGGCCCCAGTTTGGAAGCAGTTGAGCTAGACGTGAACTCGAGCCCAAGAGGCTGTACTCTTAATACCAAATCATACTGTGTGATTCCACATCCTAGAGAAAAATTAGAAAAATCAACAGTATGGAAAATACTTGCTCTTACTAGAGAATTCCTTAATGTAGCACCTGATATTCTAGCCTGCCTGTGAGCGTGGCTCTACAGAATATATATGCTCATTGGAGAGTTTTAATACTTTTCAGAAGATAAAGTACTTTAGGATCAACATAAAAACTGGAGGAAATCAATTAAATTGTAATTGTTCGCCTGGGTTTCTCATATTGAGATTGAAGTAGTCCTGGTATGACCTCGGTTGATGGAAACATAAATAATTGAGAAGCTACAATGAACTACGTCACTTACCGTTACAAGCTAACTCTGTGGAGATTCAGAGGCTGGGTGTGAATAAGCAACAATTTGGTTTCGCTTTGCAAATAAATCACAGACCCATCAGGTTGAAACCAGGCCTCACACAATGGAGAATGCACACTGAAAAGCATTGTAATAGATAAGAATTCTACCCCCCTCTGGCCTGGAAAGGATCGTTGCCCTGGGAATGAGGTTCTTAATCTGAATTAATCTTTGCTAGGGATTACTCCTTAGTCTGCCTGTGTACCCGCAGGTCAGAGGACCCCGGGAAATGTGATCCTAGCTTTGCCTTCCAGGTCTTGGGTCTGAGCCTTTCTGAAAACCCTCCACCTCCCTAGACTGTCCTGTAGAGAGAGAAGGGTCCCGGCCCGGCCTCAGGGGAGTTCTGAGTAGCAGGACGATCTTACTGCGTAAAAGCACTCGCGTCCCCAAGCAAGCCAGAGGCCTCTCCTGAGAGATGTGGCAACTTAGCGCGTGGTTTCCTTTTAAGGGTGTATTATCGCTTTGTATTTTTTTATTTATTTATTTTTTGCGGTACACGGGCCTCTCACTGCCCATATCGCTTTGTATTTTTTTAAAAAAGAAGAAATTCGTGAGCACCAAAGTGACCAGGGTCTCCAGGGACTGTGGGATGAGACAGCAGAGGCCCCCGTTATTCCAGGTCCTCTGCTCCAAGGACCATCCTTCGGGAGGCTGGCCGGAGCCGTGGGTGCCGTCGGGGACCTGCAGCCCCTCCTCCCGCTGGTCTGGGGACCCTGGCAGGAAGCCTCTTGTAGATGCTGCCACATTCCTCTGCTTCCTGAAGGAACATCTGAGAAGAGTGGTTCCTGGTGTCCCCAAGTACCCTGCTTCTAATAATTCAGCCAGTGTACTTTCCCGAGAGTAGGAAACACTGGTTTGGGAAATCTAGCGCATTTCCGTCTCTTGTGAATGTGTGTGAACAGACCACCCTAGCGCCCGGCCTGTGAAACCTTCTCTCGTCCAGGTGGGCAGAGGCAAGCCTCCCACCCTGTCCGTTCATTCCCGAACATGAAACTTGATACTTCAGTGGCAGATTTATCCAAATAGAGAATAATCTGAGCAAGGGAAATGATCAATTTATTGTCTTAAAATGTGCATGTTTCATCAAACCACACTACAGCAGGCATAGAAAAAAATAACAACTCCGGTTGCCTGAAAGCTTATGATAGATGTGGAAGGTACTGGGTGCCAGAGAATTACAGACTCTACCTATAGGAGTTTCTCATACTGATTGTTGGAAAACAACAGGAAATAGGAAGGGAGAAGGTGAGAAGGTGAGGTTCTTTGTATGAGGAACAGTTAGGATCAATTTGGCCACCTCCTAACCTCCCACCCTCGCTCCCTCTGTGGAGGAATTATTATCTACAAATTCAAGGACACAGAGGAATTATCTACAAATTCAAGGACAGGGTAGGGGGAACCAGGGTGTGGAGGAAGAGCAGAAAGGAGTGCTGAACTCAGAAGGCAGGCACCTGACGGTAACAGGAACAGCTCTCTCCCCACACCTAGGCAAGGTGCTCAGCGATAACTGCACCTAACTGTGATAGAAAAGTGAAGTGTAGAAATGCAGGCCAGTTACAAGATGCCAACAGTTTCCTCTGACTATTCAAAGGGTTTCTGAACTTGGATTTTATAGTTTATCTTTAGGCATGTTTTTTTTTTGGTGGTACGCGGGCCTCTCACTGTTGCGGCCTCTCCCGTTGCGGAGCACAGGCTCCGGACGCGCAGGCTCAGCGGCCATGGCTCACGGGTCCAGCTGCTCCGCGGCATGAGGGATCTTCCCGGACAGGGGCACGAACCCGCATCCCCTGCATCGGCAGGCGGACTCTCAACCGCTGCGCCACCAGGGAAGCCCTAGGCATGTTTTTAATCGTCTATTGATGTATATTTATCTATCCTGGACCCAAACGATTCAAAACAGATACCGACTCAGACACTCCAGAAGTTCCCTGTTGCACGGTCAAAACAGGCACAGTCTGTAATCAAACACAATTAGGTGACACTTGTAGTTCGTTCTGGGGAAACCGGTGAGATGTAGAGTGCATAACTTATTAGTTTGGCACGTATTCTGCTTCTCAGCCCAGGGCCGTGGGTCCTTGGACTAACATCTATCATATACCTTATCCAATAATTAACCTTGTTTGTTCCGGAAGCCCGAAGCCCAGCCATGAATCTGCGAAGTGACTATATTTGCCTAATGATAAACCACAACAATGAATCACATATGATTATCCTGAAACAGGCAGGTATTACCCCTAATAGGAGCTGTGACACTACAGTTAAATAACTGAGACCCATCTCTCTGCCAGCAAGTCCCTGTTTCGAGTCCACGACAAGGACACCAAGACATCCCTCTCTTCAGAGTTCAGTCCTTCACTGTATTTCTCTTGAAACAAAACACACGTCACATTTACTTTATGGATTAAGGTACTAGTAATGCTGCTCAGGCTTCTCAGGTACGACGAGGTAAAGGGAACGTGTGACCTGGACTAAACATTCTTTTGCCAGATCTCAAAGCGAGTCTTGGGAAGCCAACACACACACACACACACACACACACACACACACACACACACACACTCATTCTGATGACAGAAGATTCTGGCCTCAAAAGTGATGTATGTCTGTATCATGTCCTGTTTAAAGGCGGATACATTCCTTCCTTCCTAGCAACTAAGACTCTAAATACTTCCTCTCAGCCTCAGCATGACCTTCGATTAGTGAGAAATAAAGATTTCTGCATGTTCTCCTGCTGTATGCAGCCCCGAACACTATGAACCCCACCCTGGGGGTCCTACCACATCAGCAGGGGCCCAGGCTCATGGAGAATCACAGGCAGCCGCCCCACTAGGGTCGTCTCGAGAACACTCCTGGGCCACATGTTGCCTTTCTCCTTAGTCTGTAAATACCTTGTCCTGAGACCCAGCCTGGAAGGTCTGACTTCAGCCATCAGGAGGTCGAGGGAATAAAAAGGGCCCCAGTGACTGTCACAGGGACCTGAAGACCCAGCCACCTGGGGCGGGGAAGCTTGGTGCTGCAGCTCCAGGGATGATTTTAAACTGGAGTTGAGCAGGGATGTCACAACCATGTGCTGAATTCTCACTAAGCTGCATCATTTCAGCACAAGTAAACACCTAAAATGTGAGCCGCTGACACTGAGTCACTTCAACAGGCAATGATTTTGGAGGAAATGCACAACTAAAAGATCCTGCATGCCACAACTAAGAGATCCTGCATGTCCCAGCGAAGATCCCACATGCCACAACTAAGACCCGGCGCAGCCAAATAAGTTAACAAGATTTATTTTTGTTTTTTTTAAAGGCAGATGTTGAGCCATCACTTTCTGATTCTAATACCAAAGATTCTGTGTCAAACGTTTCCCTGACAGACTGGTTCAAGATGGCCGACTAGAAGGACGTGCTCTCACTCCCTCTTGCGAGAGCACCAGAATCACAACTAACTGCCGAACAATCATCGACAGGAAGACACTGGAACTCACCAGAAAAGATACCCCACCTCCAAAGACAAAGGAGAGGCCACAATGAGACAGGAGGAGGGGCGCAATCCCAGTAAAATCAAATCCCATAACCACTGGGTGGGTGACTCAGAGACTGGAGAACACTTATACCACACAAGTCCACCCACTGGAGTGAAGGTTCTGAGCTCCACGTCAGGCTTCCCAACCTGCGGGTGCGGCAACAGGAGGAGGAATTCCTAGAGAATCAGACTTTGAAGGCTAGTGGGATTTGATTGCAGGACTCTGACAGGACTGGGGGAAACAGAGACTCCTCTCTTGGAGGGCACCCACAAAGTAGTGTGGGCATTGGGACCCAGGGGAAGGAGGAGTGGCCCCATAGGAAACTGAACCAGACCTACCTGCTAGTGTTGGAGGGTCACCTGCAGAGGCAGGGGGTGGCTGTGGCTCACCGTGGGGACAAGGACACTGGCAGCAGAAGTTCTGGGAAGTACTCCTTGGCGTGAGCCCTCCCGGAGTCTGCCATTAAACCCAAGAGCCCGGGAAGGCTCCAGTGTTGGGTTGCCATGGGCCAAACAACCAACAGGGAGGGAACCCAGCCCCACCCATCAGCAGACAAGTGGATTAAAGTTCTACTGAGCTGTGCCCACCAGAGCAACACCCAGCTCTACCCACCACCAGTCCCTCCCATCAGGAAACTTGCACAAGCCTCTTAGATAGCCTCACCCACCAGAGGGCAGACAGCAGAAGCAAGAACTACAACCCTGCAGCCTGTGGAACGAAAACCACATTCACAGAAAGTCAGACAAGATGAAAAGGCAGAGGGCTATGTACCAGATGAAGGACAAGAT